ACAGCGACGAGTATGTGTACATCCAGGATATCACGTGCAACGATTGGTTCCGCAACTGGATCCCGAGGACAACTTGGGAAACGTTTACGACAAGCTACGCGACGTACAACGGCCAGAGGGTGTGGGACCGCAGGTTCTACAAGGACGGCGACGCGTAGTGAGTCGGCCGCAAGGCCCACTGCTCAAGAGCAGAACTTCTTTTCATCAAAGTTCGCCTTGAGCGGTGGCTAATATATTCTTTTAGGCCACTTCAATCATTCCAACAAGTGGCCGTACACACATATATATATATGCCTTTTGCGATCACCGAGGCAGCCTCCTAAGGAGCAACGCCAACGGGAGTCGCCAAACAGATTTTTATACATCTCTTTTCGTGTTCATCAACGCGACATTTTGTCTGGCCAGACACTTGCTTTACACAGATTTGCGTTTCTTTTCAGAATCGTGTTCGTCAACGCGATCTTAGCATGCATATTTTACCAATTTGAACAATATTGCGTCGAGAATAATCTGCTTGCTGGTGGCAACACCTGCCTCGCAGATCCTGCGAGGCAGATTGCATGTTGCCGTAATGCTCAGATCTACTTTCTCCGCCTACCCTTGTCTCATTCTTCTCCTCCCTCGAGTGCCGAAGCGTTTTGGGGGGCGCACCGAGGGGGCGCCAAAGTGCGCCTGGAGAAGAAAGAGGGACTTAGGGTATCTCTTCTTACCTCACTTTGCAGCTGTGGCTTCGCTGTTTTTAAGCCTCATCTGCCTTTCTGACTTAAGGACTAAAGGAGTTCAGAGGTTACGGATTCCTATCCTCTGTTCCCGAGTCCTGCCTTAACGGGCGGGATTCGGGACGGGGGGTGTGGGAGGAACCCGTGTAATACCCTCATATATACTCCTTATCCTTACCTCTCCCGCACCTGGCCGTTTGGGCTCAGGTACTGAGTTGGAGCGATCGTACCTTGATCGCGTGGGAGGGAAAGATATCCATCTATCCCTCCATCTCTCTACCAACGGGCCAGGGGTTCTGTGCCCTTGTACTTCAACCCCATACACAGGGGTGGGGACATGCAGAATCTGCGTGTCACGCAGGCCCAAAATCTGCGTGTCGCACGCCGGGTCCGGGGGCCGGGGTGGGGACACGCAGAATCTGCGTGTCACGCGGGCCCCACCAGGGGGGCGGACACGCAGAATCTGCGTGTCACGCGGGCCCAACATCTGCGTGTCGCACGCCGGGGGTCCGGGGGCCGGGGTGGGGACGCGCAGAATCTGCGTGTCACGCGGGCCCCACCAGGGGGGCGGACACGCAAAAGCTGCGTGTCGCGCGCCGGGTGTCCAGGAGGCTGGAGTGGGGACACGCAGAATCTGCGTGTCACGCGGGCCCAACGTGTCGCACGCCGGGGGTCCGGGGGCCAGGGTGGGGACACGCGGAATCTGCGTGTCACGCGGGCCCCACCAGGGGGGCGGACACGCAGAATCTGTGTGTCGCGCGCCGGGTGTCCGGGGGGCCGTGGTCGGGACACGCAAGAAATTTCTTTGCGTGGCGTGTCACGCGGGCCCCAGCAGGTGGGGCCAAGGGCTAGGACCGTGGCGCTCCCGGAGGTCCAGAGGCCGGGGGCCAGGACCAGGACATGCAGAATCTGCGTGTCACCTCGAGAACGCCGCGCAGGGGCACGCAGAATTTGCGTGTCACACGGGCTCAAAATCGGCGGGTCGCACGCCGGGGGTCCGTGGGCTCGGGTGGGGACACGCAGAATCTGCGTGTCACGCGGGCCCCACCAGGGGGGCGGACATGCAAAATCTGCGTGTCGCACGCCAGAGGTCCTGGGGGCCGGGGTGGGGACACGCAGAATCTGCGTGTCACGCGGGCCCCACCAGGGGAGCGGACACGCAGAATCTGCGTGTCGCGCGCCAGGGGTCCGGGGGCTGGGGTGGGGACGCGCAGAATCTGTGTGTCACGCGGGCCCCACCAGGGGGGCGGACACGCAGAATCTAGGCTCATGCAATACAATCGTCGTGTCGCGCGCCGGGGTCCGGGGGGCCGGGGGAGGGGCGCGCGCAGAATCTGCGTGTCACGTGCGGGCCCCGCAGGAGGGGCGGACACGCAGAATCTGCGTGTCACGCGGCCCAAAATCTGGAGCGTCGCACGCCGGGGGTCCGGGGGCCGGGGTGGGGACACGCAGAATCTGCGTGTCACGCGGGCCCAAAATCTGCGTGTCGCACGCCGGGTCCGGGGGCCGGGGTGGGGACAGGCAGAATCTGCGTGTCACGCAGGCCCCACCAGGGAGGCGGACACGCAGAATCTGCGTGTCGCGCGCCGGGTGTCCCGGGGGCCGGGGTGGGGACATGCAGAATCTGCGTGTCACGCGGGTCCAAAATCTGCGTGTCGCACGCCGGGTCCGGGGGCCGGGGTGGGGGCGCGCAGAATCTGCGTGTCACGCAGGCCCCACCAGGGAGGCGGACACGCAAAATCTGCGTGTCGCACGCCGGGGTCCCGGGGGCCGGGGTGGGGACACGCAGAATCTGCGTGTCACGCGGGCCAAAATCTGCGTTGTGCACGCCGGGTCCGGGGGCCGGGGTGGGGGCACGCAGAATCTGCGTGTCACGCGGGCCCCACCAGGGGGGCGGACGCGCAGGATCTGTGTGTCGCGCGCCAGGTGTCCTGGGGGCCGGGGTGGGGACACGCAGAATCTGCGTGTCACGCGGGCCCAAAATCTGCGTGTCGCACGCCTGGTCCGGGGGCCGGGGTGGGGACACGCAGAATCTGCGTGTCACGCGGGCCCCACCAGGGGGGCGGACACGCAGAATCTGCGTGTCGCGCGCCGGGTGTCCCGGGGGCCGGGGTGGGGACACGCAGAATCTGCGTGTCACGCGGGCCCAAAATCTGCGTGTCGCACGCCGGGTCCGGGGGCCGGGGTGGGACACGCAGGGGGGGGCGGACACGCAGGATCTGTGTGTCGCGCGCCGGGTGTCCCGGGGGCCGGGGTGGGGACACGCAGAATCTGCGTGTCACGCGGGCCCAAAATCTGCGTGTCGCACGCCTGGTCCGGGGGCCGGGGTGGGGACACGCAGAATCTGCGTGTCACGCGGGCCCCACCAGGGGGGCGGACACGCAGAATCTGTGTGTCGCGCGCCGGGTGTCCCGGGGGCCGGGGTGGGGACACGCAGAATTTGCGTGTCACGCGGGCCCCAGCAGGAGGGGGCCAAGGGCCAGGGACCATGGCGCTCCCGGAGGTCCAGAGGCCGGGGGCCAGGGCCGGGACATGCAGAATCTGCGTGTCACCTCGAGAACGCCGCGCAGGGACACGCAGAATTTCCGTGTCACGGAGGCGTTCGCGTGTGCGCGACACGCGAAGCCTGCGTGTCAGTCACTCGGCGGGGCCTTGAGGCTTCAGACTGACGTGACACGGAACGCGCTCGGGGCGGCGTCGCGTAAGTAAACGTGACACGCAAATCCTGCGTGTCACCCGGAACGCGCTCGGGGCGGCCGGGCGACGCGACACGCAGGATTTGCGTGTCGCGTAGACGTGACACGCAAATCCTGCGTGTCACACGGAACGGCGACGACGTTGCTGTTGCCGTTATTATTTTCATCTTTTACGAGCGTAAGCAGAAGCTGCGCCCTGACGCGCCTTGGAGACACGTTGGGCGTAGCGCTTGAGCACATGCCTTCCCGTCGGCACCTCTCATTTGCAATTCGTGGCCGGAATTGGAAATGACCGGAATTACAAATGACCGGAATTACAAATGAGTGCTCTGTACGAATCCTTGAAGCTATTGCGAACTTTTGAAGCGAGTTCGCGCGGCTCTAAGGCGGGGGCCGCATTTTGAAAACGGCCCATCCTGCATCCTTGAAGCTACTGCGAACTTTCAAGACGAATGTGCGCGGCGCTATGGCGAGAGCCATATTTTGAACACGGCCCGCCCTCCATCTAGACGAGTGTGCGCGATGGTATTGTGATTGCCACAGTTTGAAAAAAGGAACCCGCCCTCCATTCTTGGAGCTGTTGCGAACTTTAAGAGGAATGTGCGATGCGCTGAGAGCCTAACGTGAGCACGGCCCGCCCTCCATTCTTGGAGCTGCTGTAACTGTTCACGACGAGTGTGCGCGGCGCTGAGGCGAGAGCCACATTTTGAGAACCAGCCGCTCTGCATTCTTGAAGCTGTTGCCGATTCCAAGCTTCAGGGTCATCAGTGGGGAGGACGCCTCAGGCAAAACGCCCGGCCCGCCCTACCGACACGTCTGGGGGTGCGACGAGGAGGAGCTGCTTATAACGAAAAGGGGTGGAGGAGGAGGAGGAGGAGGAGGAGGAGGCGGAGGAGGAGGAGGAGGAGGAGGAGGAGGAGGAGGAGGAGGAGAGGATCGATGAGGTTCCTCGAGATGCTCGAGGCCCGGAAGGGAAACTCACCGCAGCACGTACTGCAATCACCCTGCCAGGACCCCGACCTTTACGGGCCAGGCTAGGCCAGCCCACACCAGCGAAGCGAGGGGGCAGTGGAGATGTCTTTTCGAGCTTACCCATTGTCATTGAAGGTCGGTATTTTTGGATCCCCTGATCCCAATCTGCTTGGAGGTGTGCTTCTGTTTCAAGAGTCGAAGGGTTTCCCCTCTCTCCTCCTCTTCAGGGGGCGGCTGGATCCCCAGTCCACTTTCAACGCCTTCTTGCTTCATGCTTCTGCCTGCTTCTGTCAAACGATGGGTCAACTTTGAGAGGTTCCGCGCAGATCTCTCGGATCGGTGCTGCCCCCCCCTCCCTGGCGCTCGGAGAGCGCGCCAGGAGCACGGAGCGCGCATGGGGGCACTAGTGTGGCGGATTTCGTTCTGGAGCGGGCGAGAGGGGATTGGGAAAGTCGGCATGACATTCCGGAGGCCCGCGCTGATTTCTTGGATCGGCCCCTGGGCCTCCCTGGCGGTGGCTCCGCGCGCCAGGGAGGGGGGTCCAAGCGCCGACTTGGAGAGATCCGCGCTGACCTCCGACAGTGCATGCTCGTTGCGACCTCTTGTCTCGCAGGTGTACCACCTGCTGCAGTCCCACGGTTGGCTGGACGACCTCGTGATCTTCGCCGAGGCTCGCAGGGACTTCGCCACCGTGACGCTCCACCATGTTAGCCGCGGCGAGCACGCGGACGCCATCCGCAAACTGGACGACTTCTCCGCCACGGGCGCCGGCGTGGAGCTGGTTCGCCGGTTCGGGGCGTCGCTCTTCTGGGCGGAGCCCAAGGCCAACGATTTAGTCGCCTACCTCCTCCTCCTCCTCCTCCTCCTCCTCCTCCTCCTCCTCCTCCTCTGCTTCCTCCTCCTCCTCCTCCTCCTCCTCCTCCTCCTCCTCCTCCTCCCCCTCCTCTTCCTCCTCCTCCTCCTTCCCAGGGCCAGGTGTGCCCAGGAGCAGCGGGTCAGGGCCTCGCCGGGCATGGGGGGCGGCTGGAAGGCTGGCCGTTCTTTGCTTGCCCAGTCGAGGGTCTGTCCGATTGCTCCTGGGCCTCCTGGGCCTTCGGGCTAGGAGGAGGAGGAGGAGGAGTACCAGCCTGAGTCGTCTCTCTACCCCGTATGATTGGCGTCGCCTTATCTCGGTGCTGATCTTAAGGATTCCCGCAGTTTCTGAAGGCACACTTGGCCTTGGCCTTGTCGATCCTCGTGGTAGGGATAAGTTCGAGACCCGTTAGAAGAGGCGGAGGAGGGACCGAGCGTCCGACGGTGGCCCTGTGGTTCTTTTGCGGCTGTGGTCGGCCGTTCGTGCTTGGGGCCCCGTGGTCGGTGCCAGATGGTTGGTGCCGTATGGTGCCCCATGACTGCCAGGCGACACCCGGCAATGCCAGGCAATGCCAGGCAATACCAAGCAGTCCCAAGCAAAGCAATCAAAGCAAAGCAAAGCAAAGCAAAGCAAAGCAACGCAACGCCAAGAAACGCCAATCAAGCAAGTACAAGCCAAGCAACGCCATGCCGTCCAAGGCAATGCACATCAATGCCAAGCCAAGCAATACGATGTAAAACAATGCCATCCTTGATTAGTTCAGTACTTAGGAATCTTGTGCCTATTGGGGTCGCGCCGGGATTTATCCTAGATGTGGTTGCTATCGGTTGGCCATTCGGCAGCGTGGGATCATAGATTCGCGGAGAATATGGATGGAAACGGTAGGAGGAGGCGGACGTGGTGGGGGGGGGTGGAAAAGGACGATGATTTTATATTATTATTCGGAGGTGGAGGAGGAGGAGGAGGAGGAGGAGGATGAGGATGAGGTAGATTATGTAGGAGGGAGGATGAGGATTATTAGGAGGTTAGGAGGAGTATTAGTAGGCGGATTAGGAGTTATTCAGAATTAGAAGTAGTATTAAGCGGCGGAGGGCGGCAGATGTAGGCAGTATCTTCGGATGATGATGATGAGGAGGAGGAGGAGGACGAGGAGGAGGAGGAGGAGGAGGAGCATGAGGGAGCAGGAGGAGGAGGAGGAGGAGAAGGAAGACGGATGAGGAATATAATGGGGTGGAGGAGGACGACAAGGAGGAGCAATTTCTGAGGAGGGGGAGGAGGAGGAACAGGAGGAGCACGATGTCGACGAGGAGCGGGAGGTCGAGCGGGCGCGGCCCAGAGGCCTTTGTGTCGCTGATGCTGCGGCCGCAGCTGAGCGGCGTGGGGCCCGCCTCCGCGCTGCCGGCGGTCTGCAGGCCCCCGCGGGGGAACAGGGGCGGGGCAACCTCTCGGGGGCAACGTGCGGGCGGGAGGGGGGAGATCGGGAGGGGAAGAAACACGGAGACACCATGACTCGTCGATTCCCAGGGAAAGGTGGGGAAATGCGGGAAGTGTGGGGGGGGGGGAAGACGAAAACCCAGAACATATGAGAAGCATGTGGGGAATCCGGGATGGGTGTATATTTGTATGTCCCTGGGAAAATAAAGGATAGTCTCAGGGGCAACGGCTAGGGGATTTTCGCTGTCTGGAGTTTTTTTGATCTTCCTGCGCCGCCGCCGTGACCACGGCCGGACCCGCCTCGAGATGCTGGCCAGGGCGCGCCCGAGGAGAGGTCCGGGGAGCTCGGTCGTCGACCCCTGTTCGAAGTTCCAGAGTTTCGAGGTCAGGTTTTTTCCGGCGTGGCCGTCGCTCCTCCGCGGCTTCTCCGCCTCGGGGGTGCTCGCCGGCAGCCGCGCCTCGCCGAGAGCGTGCGGTGTGTGTGTGTGTGTGCACGGGTCAGGAGGGAAAGAAACACACAGACACAATCAATCGTCGACTCCCAGGAAAATATGGGAAAGTATGGGAAGTGGGGGGAAGACAAGAACCCAGAAAGTATGGGAAATTCTTTGTACTTGTGTGTATTTGCTCGTGTGTCCTGGGGCCCCTTCAGCGGGCCGTCCCGAGCGGCCGCCGGAGCGCCGAGCCGCGAGCCGAGGGCGGAGGGGCGGCGTTTCGGGGGGGGGGACGCCTCGGCTCCGGGGGGGGGCGCCTGGGCCCCGCCTCGCCCACGGATCGCCGTCAGGGGCGCGCTGGCCCGCCCCGCGGCGGAGGATGCGGATTCGCAGTCGGTGGCCTTAGGGGAACAAAAAGTGGCATAAACATAAAAGCTCGGAGGTCCGCGCGGATTTCTCGGATCGGCACCCTGTCGGCGATGCGTCGCCGATTCGAGCGAAGAGGCCCAGCGGCAGGGAGAGAGAGAGAGAGAGAGAGAGAGAAAGAGAGAGAGAGAGAGAGAAGGAGGGTGCCGAAGAGGGGAGGAGGGGGGAGGGCGGAAACGTGGCGGGGGGCGCGGATTCCGAATTCTGGCTGTGCGGCACCATGCGCGCGTGCGGCCCCGCGCGCCAGTCAGCCTCGCGCCCGCCAGGCACGCCCGAACAGGGAGGGGGGCCCCAGCACGCTGGAGGGGTGCACGTTGGGCTCCCTTCGGGCGGATCGAAGGTCGCCACGAAGGAAAGGGGCCTGAAGAAAGCGGGTCCTGTTCCTCCTTGCTCCTTCCGCTTCCTCCTCCTCCTCCTCCTCCTCCTCCTCCTCCTCCTCCTCACACCTTCCTTCCTCCTCCCCCTCCTCCTTCCTCCTCCTTCATTCCCCCTACTCATACATCCTCTCCCTTCTTCTTCTCTCTTCCTTCCTCTTCCTCCCTCCTTCCTCCTTCTCCTTCCTCCTCCTCTCCCCTCCTTCCTCCTTCCTCCATCCTCCTCCTCCTCCTTCCTCCTCGTCCCTCCTTCCTCCTCGTCCCTCCTCCCTCCTCCTCCTCCTCGCTCCTCCTCGTCCCTCCTCCTCCTCCTCCTGCTCCTCCTCCGCTTCGTCCTCCTCCTCCTCATCCTCCTCCTCCTCCTCCTCCTCCTCCTCGGCTGGCGCTCAGCACGGCGGGGCCTCTCTTTCCTCTCAGTGGGGCGGGGCCGGCAGACCTTCGACGCCTCGGAATCCCCCAAAGGGGCTGTCCCCCAGCGCGGGTGTTTCCGGGCCCCTCCTCCTCCTCCTCCTCCTCCTCCCCTCCTCCTCCCCTCCTCCTCCTCCTCCTCCTCCTCCTCCTCCTCCTCCTCTTCCGCCCACCCGTGCGGGGGAGGAGGCTGCCAAACGGAAGGGGCCTCGGGCGGACGGGCAGCGCGGCCGGCCCCGCCGGGGGGGGGTCGGGAAGGAGGGGGAGGCCGACGGGGGAGCGCGCGAGGATCCACGAATCGGATCGCAGACAGTCGAAGGAGACCACAAACGCGTCAAAAGAAGCTTCTGGTGCTCCGCGCGGATCTCTTGGCGATCCGCGCTGGGCCCCCCGGCGGCGCATCTGGCACGCTCCGCGCGCCAGGGAGTGGGGTCCAGCGCAGAGCCAAGAAATCCGCGCGGGGCGCCAAACATGGATCATGCCGCGCGGATCAGCGACGTGCCCCGTCTCCAGGCGGCGCTGGTGCCATGCTCCGGGGGCTCGCTTCCCCAGTCGCGGATCTGGCGCCCACGCGCCAGGGACACCGAGGCTCGACTCTAGCAGTCGCCAGAGACACGTCCTGGAGCCATGCGAGCAACAATTGTTGAAGCTTCGCGTGTCCCCACCAGCTTGAGGCGCCGCTTAGGCAGCTTAGGCAGTTTAGGTGCGCGGCTCTAGTTTGCTCCTGTTGTCAATTAGTAGGCCCGCGCCCCGGACTTACGACTCGCCGCTTGCGCTCTCGCCTGCGGCCGCGACCAAAAAACTTATCCCCACCAGCTCCCCTCACGCCAGCCCGTCCGCCGAGGCGCTGCTGAGGTCGCCGGCCCGTCGGCGTTAGGCAATTCGGCTCTTGCGCGGCCCGCTTGGACCTTACTCGCCGCTGGCGCCCTCGCTTGCGGTTGCGACAAAAAGTATCCCCACCAGCCCATCCAGAAAGCCAAGGCGAGCTCCTCGGATGCCTCTTGTAAGCTTTCTGGAGGCCTCTTGGAGCGTCCTAGGGGCCTCTTGGCGGTCCCGTGAGCTAGGCAAGCAACACATTCATCGTTTGTTTCACCGTGCGATCCACGGATCCGCAGTCCATGTTAGCGTGCGCCCGGAGGAAGAGGAGGAGCAGAAGGAGGAGGAGGCGGAGGAGGAGGATAATGATGATGATGATGATGATGATGATGATGATGATGATGATGATGATGATGATGATGTTGATGATGATGATGATGATGATGATGATGATGATGATGATGATGATGATGATGATGCCGAGGAGGAGGAGGAGGCGGAGGAGGAGGAGGAGGAGGAGGAGAGGATCGATGAGGTTCCTCGAGATGCTCGAGGCCCAGAAGGGAAGCCCATCGTCTGCTTCATCGTGCGATCCACGGATCCGCAGTCCATGTCAGCGTGCGCCCCCGGAGACGCCCAGAGCCGCCCGCCCCTCCCGCCCTCGAGGCCCGGGTGGCCGCCGACGCACCATGCGCAGGCATTGCGGTACCTGGAGCACGCGGCGAGGCATCCCTCTGAGCCCGCCGAGAAGGCGCCGGCCGTCTGGGAAGGAGGGGGGCCGTGGATCGCCTATAACGATGGTGATGATGATGATGATGCTGATGATGCTGATGCTGATGCTGCTGCTGCTGCTGATGATGATGATGTTGATGAAGATGATGATGATGATGATGATGATGATGATGATGATGATGATGATGATGATGATGCTGATGATGATGATGATGATGATTCTGATGATGATGACGATGATTATGATTATGACGATGATGTTGATGGCGATGGTGATGGTGATGCTGATGCTGGTGATGCTGATGCTGATGATGCTGCTGATGATGGTGATAATGATGATGATGATGATGATGATGATGATGATGATGATGATGATGACTGTGGTGATGATGATGATGCTGGTGATAGTGATGATGATGATGACTGTGGTGATGGTGATGGTGATGGTTATGGTGATGGTGATGATGTTGTTCTTGCTAATGATGTCGATACTGATGATGCTGATGATCATGATAATTCTGATTGTGATGATGATGCTGATGCTTATGGTGGTGATGCTGATGATGATGGCGGTGATGATGGTGATGCTGATGTTGTTGTTGATTGTGATGATGGTGACGGTGCTGATGTTAATTGTGTGTCTGATGGTGATGCAGATGATGACGGTGCTGATGAGGATGATGATTGCGTCTTGTTGATGATGGTGATGGTGCTGCTGATGATGATGATGATGATGATGATGAAGATGTTGACGATGATGACAACTATGCTGGTGCTTGTGACGAGGTTTTTGATGATGTCCATGATGAAGATGACGGTGACGAGTTGATGATTTTGGTGACGTTGGTGATGTTGGTGATGGTCACGATGAGGATGCTGGTGACGCTGATGATGATGATGATGATGATGGTGGTGGTGATGATGACGATGTTGGTGATGTGGTTGTTGATTAAGATGGTGATGCTGCTATTGTCTTTGATGCTGCTAATGATGGTGATGTTGCCGATGCTGATGATGGTGGTGATAACGATAACGATGATGTTATCGTTGATTATGACCGTGGTGGTGATGATGATGTTGGTGAAAGTGATGATGCTGATGCTGATGATGATGATGATGATGATGCTGATGATGCTGATGATGATGAGGATGATGATGCTGATGATGATGACGATAAAAATGGTTTCCTCCTTTGTCTGAAGACTGTCTCTTCTACGGTGCTGGCTCAGCTTGCGGTGTAAGCACACGCTGCACACAGCAGGAAACATGTGACGTTCGTGACAGCGCCGTCCTGCCGCCCTTGCGGCATGAACGTCTAGTGTGAACAGGGTGCCCATCATGGGCACTGCTCGCACGCTGGGGTGGGCAGATGAGCCGGGAACGGACAGGACCAGGGGTGCCCTCAAAGTGGGCATGCTCTGAGGTCCGTAACCAAAACGATGTGAGTGATGTGTCTTGTATCTTGCAACAGGTTTGTATGCGAAGAGTTGACAATGTTGTGTGGATGTTGGCAAACTGCATGCTATCAACTGACAGTCCCGAGTTCGACTTCGGCATGGCGCGAGTGCTCAACGCGCCAGAGCTGGACTCCGGCGGATGTCTCGAGTGATCGTTGAACTCTTCTGTCGTTGTTGTGGCCCTTTTTGAGACCAGCAGCAGCGCCATGGACAGCAGCGCAGCCGCAGCAGCCCCAGCCACAGCCGCAGGCCGCCGCAGCAGCGCAGCCGCAGCAGTCCTATCCACCTTGTTTGGTCGCCTCAGAAAGGGACGTGACAGGGACGTCCTGGCAGACGGAAAAGTAGCAATGATCGTCAGAAAGAAGGGGCGTCGCAGGTGCATTCTGTCCGTATTTCGAACGCTCCCACGAGCGCCTAACTAAGGGATTAGGTGGCTCACACCCCTGGGCCGTGGTAGGTGCCCGTTCTGACAGCCGGGGGAGGCTGAGATGTCACGAGCGAAGGGCGAGTTGTTTATTCCTTTCTCTGAAGGCAATCCCTGCTACGTTGCTGGCTCAGTCTGCGGTGTAAGCAGACGCTGCACACAGTCGGACCCGGGTGTCGTTCGTGACAGCGCCGTCCTGCAGCTCTTGCGGCATCAACGTCTAGTGTGAACAGGGTGCCCATCATGGGCAGTGCTCGCACGTTGGGGTGGGCAGATGAGCCGGGGACGGACAGGACCAGGGGTGCCCTCAAAGTGGGCATGTTCTGAGGTCCGTAACCAAGAGGATGTGAGTTGTGTTTCTTGTAGTTTGCAGCGCGTTTGTATGCGATGAGTTTCCAGTTTTGTGGAGATGTCGGCGAACTGCAGATGGAAATGATGATGATATGGCGATTGTGATGAGGGTGATGACTGTATTTATGTTGTTGTTAACGATGGTGGTTCGGATGATGATGACGATGCTGCTGTCTACAACTGTGATTTTGGTGATGTTGGTAATGTTCATGCTGATGGTGATGGTGATGATGATGATGCTTTGGATGGCGATTTTGTTGGTGATGCTGATTATGTTCATGATTGTGCTGATGCTGTTGGTGCTGTTTATGGTGGCCATGACAGTGGTGACGATGATAGAGTTGATTGTGAAGATGTTGTCGGTTGTGGTGATTTTGCGGGTGCTGTTGCTGAAACGGATGATGTTGGTGATGCTGATAGGTATGGCATTGTTGTTGCTGTTAAGGGTGATGATGACATGGGTGATGATGGCGTTGCTGATTGTGACGATGGTGGGGGTGTTGATGATGCCAAATACGATGAGGTTGATGGTATTGATGCTGCTGATGATGATGATGTGACTGACGATGATACTGCTGACAGTGATGCTGCTGATGGTGCTTGTGATGATGTTGTTGTTGAATGTGAATTTGTCGATATATGCATGTGACGACCATGCTGATGATTATGATCTGGGTAATCGCGACTAGGAGTATGGCGTTGACTGTTTTATGATTCTGATGATGCCGTTGTTGAGCAACGGTGACGATCGTGAGGAGGAATGCAAGGATGCTGCCGCTGCTGAAGACGATGCTGCTGATGGGAAGGCACTTGAGGAGCTGGATGAGGCCGATGCTGCTGATGGTGATGCTGATGCTGATTATGAGGATACTGGTGAGGATGCTGCCGTTGGTGACGATCATGTTGCTGATGGTGATGCGGGTGGTTCGATGATGGCGGCAACGGCCATGATGATGGTGGTGATGACGATGATGGCGATGTTGCTGCTGATGGTGATGATGATGTTGGTCAGTATGACATTCGGCTGATGATTATGACGGTGATGCTGCTGATGATGCTGTTGCTGATGATGGTGGTGATACTTCTGATGTTTGTGATGGTAGTGATGATGGCAGCGGTGATGATGTTGCTGATGGTGATGGTGATGCTGCTGCTGCTGCTGCTTATGATGGCGGTTGTAATGATGTTGGGGGTGATGACGGTGATGATGCTGATGATGATGATGTTGGTGGTGGTGGTGGTTGTAGTGTTGATTGTTGTGGTGATAACGATGACGAGGATGAATCGTATAATGCGGAGGAGCTCGTGGATTATGAGGAGGGCAATGAAGATGATGATGCTGATGCTGATGATGATGATGATGATGATGAAGAAGATGATGCTGATGATGATGATGATGCTGATGATCGTGATTATGCTGATGATGGTGATGGTGATGCTGGTGATGATGATGATGATGATGCTGATGATGATGATGATGATAATGATGATGATGATGATGATGATGATGATGATGATGATGATGATGATGATGATGATGATGATGATGATGATGATGATGATGATGATGAGTGAGGCTGATGATGATGCTGATGATGATCATGAGGAAGAAGGGGAGGAGGAGAAACAGGAGGAGGAGCAGGAGGAGGAGCAGGAAGAAAGGTCGAGCCGCCAGGGCAGCAGGAGGCGAGACAGGATGCGAAGGAGGATGTCCTGGAAGGCGGAGTCCCCGCGGTCCCGCAGTTCTGCGGAAGGGGCGGCCCTGCGAGGCGCCCGTGGTGCTCGGCGCTTCGTTCTGCGACGAGGGTGGCGCGGGCGCCGATGCGGAGGCCCGCGGCGCGCGCAAAGTGAGGGCGAGCGAGGGGGACGACGAGGAGGGGGACGAAAAAGGGCAATGAGGAGGAGAAATGGAAGGAGAAGGAGAGGAGGAGGAGGAGGAGGAGGAGGAGGAGGAGGAGGAGGAGGAGGAGGAGGAGGCGGAGGAGGAGAGGAGGAGGAGGAGGAGGAGGAGGGAGGAGGAGAGGATGAGGAGAGGAGGAGGAGGAGGAGGAGAGGAGGAGGAGGAGAGGAGGAGGAGGAGGAGGAGGAGAGGAGAGGAGGAGGGAGGAGGAGGAGGAGGACGAGGAGGAGGAGGAGGAGGAAGAGGAGGAGGAGGAGGAGAGGAGGGAGGAAGAGGAGAGGAGGAGGCGGAGGAGGAGGCGGAGGAGGAGGAGGCGGAGGAGGCGGAGGAGGAGGAGGAGGAGGAGGAGGAGGAGGAGGAGGAGGAGGAGGAGGCGGAGGAGGCGGAGGAGGAGGAGGGGGAGGAGGCGGAGGAGGAGGAGGAGGAGGACGGGGAGGAGGCAGAGGAGGAGGAGGCGGAGGAGGAGGAGGAGGAGGAGGAAGAGGAGGAGGATGATTAATCATGATATTAACAGTTCTCATACAGCAATACAGGTGATGATCATGCTGATAATAGTATGGATAATACGAATACGAACATTCATATTGATACTAACATGAATGATATTAAGAAGACTGGTACGAATACTCAGGATATCAATTAAATGAAGAAGACCACACATACTATTAATAGTACTTCGTAGTGAAATACTAATGATACGAATGCTAATCATAAGTAGACTATGAGAAGAATACCATGGATATCAATAAGGGGAACAATACCAGTATTACGAATAATCGTAATACTGAGACGAGTAATAAGAATACGACGAATAATAAAACGAAGACAACGAGTAATACTAACCAGATAATAATACTACTCATGATACGATTAAGAAGCAATGAGAATACACATACGAGGATGTACGCTAAGACGGACACGAGTACTAATAACACAAGTAGTACTACTACTAATAATCATAATAATAATAGTGATACTGGTACTACTACTAATAATAATATTACTAATGGTAATGATACTACTAATGCTACTACTACTACTACTACTACTACCACTACTACTAGTAATACTAATATTTTAAATAATAACACTACGCATGAAATACTAATACTGATAGTAATAATAGTTGTAATACTAATTATAATATTACTAATACTCATACTGACAATAATAATACCAATAATACTAGTAATACAGTTACTACTACCACTACTAATACTGATACTACTAATACTACTACTACTAATACTACTACTCTTGATACTAATACTAGTAATACAATTAATAATAATAGTATCAATAATCTTTTACGAATACTCATAATACTGATAATAATGATACTAAGAATGGGACTAATATTATTAAGAATAGTAATAACAATAATGCTGATAAGAGGAGGAGGAGGAAAAGGAGGAAGAGGAGGAGGAAGAGGAAGAGGAGAAGGAGGAGGAGCAGGATGAGGAGGAGAAGGAGGAGGAGGAGGACGAGGAGGAGGACGAGGAAGAGGAGGAGGAGGAGGAGGAGGAGTTGGAGGAGGAGGAAGATGGGGAGGAGGCGGAGCTAGGTGTCCCAAGAGGCAGCCACCACCAGGGTATGACATGTGTCGGTTCACGGCCAATTTGCGGGGATGCCTCAAGCGAAACGCTTTCATTTCAGAGCCCCATGGCTTCCGCAATGTAGCTGGCTCGGCATTTGGGCACCCAAGGGGAGACCCAGTCAGCCGCACTCACTCTCACTCACAGTCATATTCGGTCATCACAGATATTCACAGAACAGGGAACCTGCCAGAAACGAGATGCACATGATAGGGATCCCCGCGTATAACTGTTTGCTCCTCCAACGGAGGGAGGGTTCTTCTCGGATGCCCTCTGCTTTCGTCTCCCCCCCAACCCATCTCCGAATCGGGGTCCTCGTTTTGCACAGAGTGCTGCTCCCATCCGTCCTCCTCCCGCCTCCTACCCTCCGCGCTGTCGCTCGTGGGCGGGACACATATCCATAGCGACGGCCTCGTGGGCTGGGCACCTGGGCCGCGACCTTATGGGTCTAGGGTGTTTTCCGCCGATGCCCCGCGCGGAACGTATCCATACGACCGCGTAGCAAGGGACCGCGCCCCAAAGCCCAGACCGCGAGGGCGTGGACTTGGACATGTCCGCCGCCCGTGAGCCGCACCTCCGGACCCACCTTGGCTCAGGATGTGCCTCAGCAGCGGTGCGCCCCTTTAGGTGCCGCCCCGGCGTAGGCATGGCCTAGGGTGGGCAACACACCAGAGGTCACTCCGGCGACCAGGGAGGGAGGGAGGGAGGAGGGAGGGAGGGAGGGAGGGAGGGAGGGAGGAGGGAGGGAGGGAGGGAGGAGGGGGAGGAGGAGGGAGGAGAGGAAGGAGGAGGAGGAGGAGGGAGGAGGATGGAGGAGGAGGAGGAGGAGGAGGAGGAGGAGGAGGAGGAGGAGGAGGGAGGAGGAGGAGGAGGAGAGGAGGAGGAGGAGGAGGAGGAGAGGAGGAGGAGGAGGAGGAGGGGAGGAGGAGGGAGGAGAGGAGGAGGAGGAGGAGGAGGAGGAGGAGGAGGAGGAGGAGGGAGGAGGAGGAGGAGGAGGAGGAGGAGGAGAGGAGGAGGAGGAGGAGGAGGAGGGAGGAGGAGGAGGAGGAGGAGGGGAGGAGGAGGAGGAGGGAGGAGGAGGAGGAGGAGGAGGAGGAGGAGGGAGGAGGAGGAGGAGGAGGGAGGAGAGAGGAGGGAGGAGGAGGGAGGAGAGGAGGAGGAGGAGAGGAGGAGGAGAGGAGGAGGAGGAGAGGAGGAGGAGGAGGAGGAGGAGGAGGAGGATGAGGAGGAGGAGGAGGAGGGAGGGAGGAGGAGGAGGAGGAGGAGGAGGAGGAGGAGGAGGAGGAGGAGGAGGAGGAGGAGGAGGGAGGAGGAGGAGGAGGAGGAGGAGGAGGAGGAGGAGGAGGAGGAGGAGGAGGCGGAGGAGAGAGGAGGAGGAGGAGGAGGAGGAGGAGGAGGAGGAGGAGAGGAGGGGAGGAGGAGGGAGGAGGAGGAGGGGAGGAGGAGGAGGAGGAGGAGGAGGAGGAGGGGGGTGACAGGCTCAGGGGTGGCCACATGGATCCCCGACCGCTCACTCCTCTCGGCGACGCTGAGGCCCGACGGAGCCCACCCCGCGCAGGACCCGGCGGATTCGCTGCCAAGGGCGGCCTCTCGCCGTTCTGCCGGCGATGTGCCGCCGATCCCCGGAGGCAGACGCCTGCTCAGACGCCGTGCCTGCAAACCAGGAGGAGGAGGAGGAGGAGGAGGAGGAGGAGGAGGAGGAGGAGGAGGAGGAGGAGGAGGAGGAGGAGGAGGAGGAGGAGGAGGAGGAGGAGGAGGAGGAGGAGGAGGAGGAGGATGGGAGGAGGAGGAGGAGGCCCTTGCTGGGCTCTGGCCTGGTTCGAAGACGAAGAGCGCCACAGAGGGACAAACTCTCGGCGCCCCGCGCGGATGTCCCGGATCATGGGCTGGGCCCCCGCCCGGCCTCGCCTCCAGCGCCGCCCCTGGCGCGCTCCGCGCGCCAGGGAGGGGGGCCCAGCGCAGATCCGAGAAATCCGCGCGGAGCGCCGCAAGTTTATGTCTATGCCGTGCTTTGATCTTCTACCGGTTTAGTATTGTGGAAGACCATCAATGAAGAAGAGGCACGTTGCCAAACAGTGTCCATATGGCTAAAACATGTTGCAAGCATGTCTTTGAAGTGCTAGAGCACGTCTTGATCAGTTTTCGAACATGCTTTAACATGTAGAGGACATTGTAAAGACATTTTAGTTCAATTTTAGAACGGTTACTCCAGATTGCATAATGAGCGCTCCCCCCCGTGCTATCCTGGCAGACGGCCCATTCCGACCCCCCAACGCGCGCCCCCGCAAAGGCATCAAAAACGACACCCACGCGGGACGGCGCAGCGGTATCAAGATTGTCACACTCCCACGCCCCTCGCAGGACAAGCCATTTCCATCCCCCCACGCGATCCCTTCTCCCACGCTTATTAAGCAATCCGGAGCAGTGTCCACTGTCACGGCATCCGCAAATCTGATAACGAGGCTGCGGAGAGGAGAGGGTGCGAGCACAAGCGAGGCCAGGGGCAAACACTTCGTGAACTTGAACGCCCCCCCTGGTGCTGCCCGCGGCTGCTGCCGCCCTCCCGCCCTCCCGATTGTTCCCCCCCTGAGCCGGTCATTCACTCTACACGCTGGTCGTTGAACAGGAGGAGGCGGAGGAGTAGGAGTAGGCGGAGGAGGAGGAGGGAGGGGTCAAGCCCTGGGCTTGCCCCCCTTCCCCCCCTTCTGGGATTCCCAGGTCCCGATCTCCTCGAAGCGCTTCCCTGCTTAGAGGATCGATGCATTTCTGTCGCTTGTGATGCTTCTTTGTTTGGGGGCCCGCAGCCAATCTGCTTTATCGGCCTGCCCGGTTCATGTGATTCTCATGGTGAACCTTCGAGAGAAATACCACTTGTCAGGCCCGGCCGCCCCGGCGAAACACCAGGGGGACCGGGGGTTGAAACGCAGAGCCCGGGCAAGGACGCCAGAGGATTAGGGGGTGATGTCCCAGAGGGGAGGGGAGAGAGAGAGAGAGAGAGAGAGAGAGAACGAGGAGGGAAGCAGAGGAGGAAAACGGGCCAGCGGTGGCAACTTTTGTGCCCCAGGGCCTCTTTGGTGGCCTGGACCACTCCTTTCGGGGGCGGCCAAGAGGGCGGTAATGGCCAGGGGTGGGTGGGTGGGTATCATGGCGGGGGCCATGATGTCTCCCCAGATTTCGTGACGCCCCTTCTTCTCCCAATGCGTCCCCGGCCGCCCCCCCCCCTGGGCCGCGCACATGCCGCGGCCATGATTTGCGCCCCCCCTCTTCTGGACGCCCCCATCTTGGGCGCTCCCGATCCTTCCGACTGGGCGGCAGCGCTGCTTCTCCTCCTCCCCATTCTTCTCCTCCTGCTCCTCCTCCTCCTCCTCCTCCTCCTCCTGCTCCTCCTCCTGCTCCTCCTCCTCCTCCTCCCTATCCTCCTCCTCCTCCTCCTCCTCCTCCTCCTCCTCCTCCTCCTCCTCCTCCTCCTCCTCCTCCTCCTCCTCCTCCCCCCCCTCCTCCTCCTGCCCATCACCCCAGCGGGGGCCGATGCCTCGCGGGGCGCCGTCGCTCCTGTGGCGCGCCCGCGGCCTCTCCGCACGCGCGGGTCGCGCGGCGCGCCGACCGGCTGCGGCGCGTGGCTGTGGGACGGACTGTGCAGCTGGTGCCCGGCCACGCGCAGAGGGGGGCCGATCGGTTCTGCACGAACGAAATGGGTACCGAAAGAATGGGTACAATGCCCAACAGCAGTTCCTGCTCATTTTGAACAGGACTCGCTGTCCGCGCCGCCGCGGCCTGTGCCCATTTGAGACAGCAGGCCGCCTGCCCAACAGCGGCCGCTGTTGGTTTGGGACAACATTTGCTGTTGGGCATTGTGCCCATTCTTTCCGTACCCATTTCGGGCGTCCAAGTCGGTGCTCCAGAGACTTGGTCGACTAGACGTAAGAGTGGCCTTTCTCCGAAGTGACTTTTGGGTTCGGACGCAGATGGGCCCCCAGATGGCGGAACGCGAAGCGGTAGCAGCGGCTGGCGCGCCTGGATTTGGGCTCCCCGCGGCCCCCCCAAAGCCGCGCACCCAAGGTCACTCTTACCCAGGGTCACTCATGCGTGTAGCCGAACTTGGCTCGAAGAAGGAAGGACCCCATAAGCATAAGCTTTGGGCGCTCCGCGCGAATTTCTTGGATCCGCGCTGGCCCCCCCCCCAGGCGGCGCCTCCGGCGCCGCCCCTGGCGCGCTCTGCGCATCCTAGAGATCATCTGGCGATAAGTATACACGCGCGAAGTCTAAAAATACACAGGGAGTGGACGTCCGAGCGATGGCAAGGAGGGGGTTCATTGGGGCTCCAGAAACGGGGGTCTCAATGCAAGCGGGGGCCAGTCAGAGCGCTGGGTCTTGCAGGATCCTACAGGGCCAGGGTTGCATTGACTCGGGCCTGGGTGCAGGATCCTGCAGGATCTTGCAGGAACATGCCAAGCCTGAGTGACCCGGGTCTGGATTGACCCGTGTCAGTGCATCCCCGAGGTCAGGGGGGGAGGGGGGAAGGCTTCTCAGAAGCAGCCCTGCTTCTCAGAAGGCGCGGGCCTCATCTACAGATGTAAGGCCGACGCCTTCTAAGAAGCAGCCTCCTCCTAAGAAGCCTTCCCCCCTTCCCCCCCCTGTGCGGGCCGCCAAGGCGTGCAGGCGCTGGGTGCCTTCGCGCGGATCAAGCTCCGAGGCGGGGATCTATTCATCATCATCATCATCATCATCATCATCATCATCATCATCATCATCATCATCATCATCATCATCATCATCATCATCATCATCATCATCATCATCATCATCATCATCATCATCATCATCATCATCACCTGGGGGAGAACGATCTTCGGGAGCGTCGGCAGGAGGTGGATGTGTTTGGCCCTCCCAGGGCCCGAACATGTCCATATCCGCCGCCTGCCGACGGCCCCGAGGATCGATCCCCCAGGCGGTGGTTTCGGATACCTCCCCGCCTCGGACGAGCGGGACTTCCTCTCCAAGCCGGACAAGTCCGGCGCGGGCGCCGTGGACGCCGGCGTGGCGCCCGTGTGCGCCGCGCTGAACGGGCTGGAGCACATGTTCACGACCTCGTCGTGTGCGGGGCGGGCCATGCTCTGGCGCGGGGACGAGTCGCCTGCCAAGCGGAGCGGCGCGCCTCCGGTGTCGCGCCTCTGCGTCTCGCACGAGGCCGAGGGCGTGGACGGCCTGCTGGAGGCCGCCGCCGGGCTGGACGCCGCCGGCCCCGCGGTCTGGCTGCGCTTCGAGCCGCTGGTGCTGCACGTGTGCTGCCTGGACTGGGCCGCGTCCAGCTCGCTCGTGGCCGCCGCCCGCGCCGCCGGGCTGAAGCGCGCCGCGGTGTTCGGGCCCGGGGCGCGGCTCCGCGGCGGGGCCGCCGCGAAAGGGGCGCCCGCCGCGCCGAGGGCGTGGCGAGTGGCGGTCGAGGGCGACGAGAGGCTCGAGATGCCACTGTTCGCCGCCGGGCGCGCGGTGTTTCCCCTCGGCGACGCGGCGCCCCGAGAGTGGCTGCGGGCGGCGCTGCTCCGCAAGTTCGAGCGCAACTCGGCGAAGACGCAGCGCCTGCTGGCCGCCGTGCAGGACAGCCTAGTGCCGCTGGCGGGCCCGGGCGCCGCGCGTGCCGCGCTGGCGCCTGCTCCGCTCGGCCCGGGTCGAGAAGCTCTCGGCGTCCGCCCAACATACTAATGCTAGGTGTGCGTCGCCCCCTCAGGGGCGACGCGCGCACCGAGAAATCTTGCAGTATCTGCGTCGTGGCGGGCGCTTTCTGGCCACACCGCTCGGGAAACGGTTTACGACAAGACGGGTATACTAGATGCTCGGGTCGGACGCACGCCTTCAGGGAGGGCATGCTATAGTACTAGTATGTCCTTGTGCGTCCCAAGCTCCTCTCTCGCTGTCGCCGCTCTGGGCGCTGCCGGCTACACAGCGGTCGCCACGCTGGTCGGTCCCTGGGAGGTGTCCAGCGGAGCGTGGGGGCCTGCAGAGGGTCCAGAGGGGGCCTCGCCTCCACGGGGCGCGGCCATGTGCGCAGCCGTCGGCACTTTTGGTGAGCTCCTGGGAGCTCCAGTAGAGTGCGGTGCTAACCTGAAGTCGGACATGTCCCTCTACAGGAGGAATGTGGAAAGCTAATCAAACAATAATCAGGGGACGATTTTTTTTTACTATTTCTGATTCGTTTTGAGAATTTGTAATTTTTCATTTGTAATTTTTCATACAAGATCCACCTGAAGGAGGACATGCCCGATCTTATGCTCAACTCGCTATGTGGGAAACGGGTCCTGAGGGAAACGGGTCCTGAGGTTAGTCGCCATTGTCGGACTCTCGGGGCCCTCCACGGGGCCCGGGACTGTAAGGAAACGGCTTAGGGTGAAGCTCTCGTCTGGGGGGAGGGCCCCGGGGTCCAGGACCCGTTTCCCTCAGGACCCGTTTCCCCCATGCTAGTGCGTGCAGTCACCCCGCATAGTCGGGATGGGCAACCTTCCCAAGGCTACCCTTGCATCCTTGCCCCTTCGGCCCATCCTTAGCGACTTTCGCCAGCCAACCTCGTTCGGAGAACGTTCACATGGGCCTCCAGCACCCCTGCATCCTTACCGCGCATCCTTATGACACGGGTTGACTTCAAACGTACCCGGACTAGATCTCCGTGGGCGCTGGCCACAGCGCAAGCGCCGCCACGCTCTCGTGCGTTCCTGGGGCGTCCAGCAGAGCGGGGCCGTGCGCCTGTAGTCACGTGGCTGTCCTTAGGCTTCGCCTCGTATAGCTCTCGGGGGGCGTCCAGGGTATACAGTCAACCCGCATAGCAAGGATGGGCATCCTTCCCAAGGGTACCCTTGCATCCTTGCCTCCTCGGTCCATCCTTTGCCACTGTCGTTTGCCGCGCTCCGCTCGAAACGCTTCGAAATGAGCGTCCACGGCCCTTGCATCTTCATCGCGCATCCACATGATACGGGCCGACTGTAGGTTCCACACGCAGCTCGCAGAAGGGGCGCCTTTCACAGTGCAGGCTCGTCTGGGGCGAACCCGTGGATCTTGCCACATGTGGAGTCTGAGTTGGGCACGCCCCTCTCTCCCCCAGCAGTGCTTGCATTCGGACCTCCCTCTTTCCCCTCCTTCCCCTCTCATAAACCATCGTTTTTTGTTTGTTAGTCTTTTTTTAGTTTTTTTTTACTTTTCATGTTAGTCTTTTTAAGTATGTGTAAGTCTTTTGTTAGTCTTTTGTTAGTCTGTTTTGTTAGTCTTTTGTTTTTTATTTGTTAGTCGTTCTTTTGTTATTTTTCTTTTCTGTTTTTTCACCCGCTCGCCGCCCGTGTGCTCCTCGGGCGCCTGCCGGGTCGCCGCCTCGTCGCCGCCTCGCGGGTGCCCGGTGGGCGCCGCGCGCGCCGGCGGGGCGCTCCGAGAAGTGCTCGCCGGGTCGCCCTCTCCCGTGGGCGCCTCGCGGGCTGCCCGTGTGCTGGCTGGACTCTCAGCGAGGCTTTCGTGCAGTCGCCGGCCGTGGGCGCTTCGTGAGCGCACCGGGGGCTATTCGCCTCTAGGAGGGCGCTCTCGGGCAGGAGGAGGAGGAGGAGGAGGAGGAGGAGGAGGAGGAGGAGGAGGAGGAGGAGGAGGAGGAGGAGGAGGAGGAGGAGGAGGAGGAGGAGGAGGAGGAGGAGGAGGAGGTAAGGTAAGGTAAGGCTCCGCTGAGACCGAGGCTCCGACGGTCTTGGGAGAAACTTGGGGTATCCCCCTCACTGCGAGAACTCGGCACTCCTCGGCAGGAGGGCGCCAGCGACGGCGCCTCTCGGCGGACGTCGGCGCACGGCCGTGCACTCTCCCAGACTGCTGCTGCTCATACGCTCTGCTTTGGGGAAAACAACGCTAGACCCACGAGCACGAGTTGCCAGCAGGCCTGGGACCAGAAAAAAAAACAGTAGCATCAACAGTACGAAAGAGCAAGACGAGGAGCTGGGACAGAAGGCTGCAGGGCACACAATTATCTAACTCTTGAGAAGCCTGCTAGAGATCACTTGCACGGGCAGTCAGCACAAGAACAACTCCTGAGAACACGAAGCTGTCTGAGGCGCCAAAACCGTGCCCTTTTCTGCCTTACACACGAGGGATGCATACTTGAACATGGGTTTGCTTCATGGCACCATAGATCGGGACGGCAACTTTGAGCGTGAACTGGAACTTGCACGCCTCCACAGGCAGGCGGTACCTCTGGGCATTGATGACGCCAAACTTCTGAGCAGATCGGCCTTCTTTTTCCACAGTGCGAACTTCTTGCGCGCCTGGATGCCAGTGTCCTGCCCTGCGGCCACGGCGGGTTTCTCGCCGACTTTGCCGAAGAGATTGGACCGCTGCTGAGCCGCCATCCGCTGAACGTGCACTTGGGGAGGACAAAGAACGACGGGAAGAAATGAGGACCAGCAGAGCCTGGAACAGCGACGGCGGGAATACTATCACTCTAGGCGGGTACATCAGTTGCAGACGCACAGAGACTAGAACGCGTCTCACACGACTGCTCTCCACAAGAAATGCACCAAAAACAACAGGGATACCGCTAGAGCTCAAGCATTTGATCAACCAGGGGAAGGTGTTGTCTCAGGTGCCACTGAGCTTCAGTATAGTTGTCGAACGAAATCTCGCACAGCTCGCAGGAGAAGGGGGGATAATGTTTGTGTTCGAAGACTACAGCCGAACCTCTAGACCTGGGGCAAGAACGATTCACTAGACTTCTGATCAGGTGCTCGCTAGCTATACGCTTAGTCGAATACATGTTGCCACAGAGCATACACGCGTTAGAAACAGTAACCACCCTAGCCAATACTCGATAACCATGATATGGAAGCTTCGAGTTAGACTGATGAAGGAGGAGCTGACGCCTGGTAGAGAACGCAGCATCGCAGACACTCCCCTCCACCCCCATATGGATGCCACACACGAACCCAGGGGGAGGAGGGGGAGGATGAGGGGGAGGGGAGGGGGGGAGAACCCAAGGGAGGCGGAATGGGGTATCTGCTGACCTAGGTACTCGCTCGCCTGCACGCGAGGGTCAACACTGAGGAAGGCATGTCGAACCTCTTCTTCGCATAATAGCGACACTGGGCGCTCCCGAACACGAGCAAGTAACTCGAAACATTCACCTACACGAAAAAGCTCTCCCACATCCTCCAAAAACTGCTTCCACCATTCATACTCTGGTCCGATTCTAAAGCCCTCTCTGTCCACAAACCTGACCTCCTGCTCCTCCCACGTACTAACACCGAACATAGTTCCTAAGAGCTGGAGGTTGCGCAGCGGTCTTCTCACCACATCTTGCCACCACTTAATTCTCTGCATTCTCAAAGTCATAGATACAGGCACCATCCTCAAAATGCGCAGAACTCTTGAATTCGTCATCGCGTGAAAGGCGATGTCTCCCTCCTCATCCGTCTCCTTCCCACTTGCGGCACCCCGAAGAAGCCGACGAGCCATGCTCGCTTGTGCACTATCTAACTTGTGCACGCTGTCGCTGAGCAGTGCCAAGGCAGGCAAGCCAGAAGATAAAGCCCCTTCAACTACAGAGCGAAACACTATCCCTTTCCACCTCCTGTTGGTACAGTGTTGCCAGAATTGCTGCAGATCGTGATAGCTGGTACGAGCTTTCGAAATTCTCCGTGGGACTTCACTCAGAGAGCTGCCATCTGCCTGAAGAAAAGGGCCTAGATACCTGCAGCAGCGCAAGGCCTTGCCAGGCATAACTTCCCCAGCCCTCAGCCTCCACTCCCCCTTCTCCGTGTACCTGCCTCCGAAAAGCCTCCTCTTGGCGGCGGTGGCACCACGGCCGCACAGGTGCACCAGGCTCTCTTGCTTGCTCGAATTCGCCTGGGCGCTCACGATACTTAGTCTGTCTTGCAGCAGGGCAGTGTTATGTTTGTTTAACCTAATCAGACCTTCCAGCGATCGCACAAGCTGCGTTCTCGCCAGATCATCAGCGAAACTCGTGAGCGAAATATCGATCGGTCTATCCGACCAGGAACAGAGACGCACGCGATCGTGCACATCATCGGCCAGACAGTGCTTCAACCAGGGGAGCGTGACACTAAGCCCAGGACTATCAGTACTAATAATCCCGTCGGCAGACCAATGGTAAGGGCCCAGGAACCACAAACAAGCTATCGTATCCCCAGGAAGAATGCCCGATCCAATACCCATGTCCAGGACCCCGTCGACGCACTCGAGGCTGACATGACCGTGCATCAATCTTTGTGAAAACAGCCGTGCAGAAATCGAGTCAGACTACAAGCGAATGAACATCATCAGCATGTCGTGCGAAACACTATGGAAAGCATTGGTGGCATCGTAGAAGTTGGTGTTGTAACTCAGCCCCGAGGACCTAAGACGCTCTTGGCATAAGTCTTGCACAAGGATCGCCCCCTCACGACGACGATTCTTTAAGTAGCCGTAAGCATAATGCCGAGAAGCTTCGTAGGACAGAGAGGGGTTGGTCTTCCACAGGTACGAATAATATATCTTCCCAAACGGATCTAAGCTATGAGCTAGACGAAGCCCTGCACAGTCTATCTTGCCGTTGCCCTCACTCAGGGTGAAAGCCTGGCTACAATGCCATATCAGGGGAGTCTCTACATGGAAACGCACATCCACTATACTCATACATAGACAGTACCTGATCTGTCCAAAGTCCCAGCTCTCACTCGTCTGACCCAGACCTGCTCTAACTCCAGATTTAAATTCCTGGGGCCAAAACAACATTCTCCACACTCCAGCAGGGAAGGCCCAGGACGGAGGCGTACGGCGAAGTTTCACTTTCCTAAACATACCCGACACTTTGCCATACGCCTCCTTCGTCTCGCTGATGACTTCTGACCAGTCGTCCTCGTTCGGGTCACGGGACAGACGGCGATCTAATTCTTCGTCGTACTTGGGGGCGCAAGCGGAAAACCCCCCATGCCCGCCAGCCTGACTTAAGTAGTCAGACCAAGTTTCGCAATCAAGATACATGCGAGGCAACGAAAAAAGACGTAGCTTGGGGCCCAGGGCCTTACCACTCAGCTTTCGAGTGAGCACCCAAGAGTCATACAAATTCCTCTGGTCCCAAGAGTCTTCAAGCTCGGACACCCGCAGCCCAATCGCACGGTTTCTGTCGCGCCTCGTGAGCCTCCTGACGTCTCTGTCGGCGCGCCTACAAAGCGTGATGTGCTTAGAAAGCTTGCTGTGGTCCCAGAAGACCTGGGCGAAGGCAAGGCACACGCAAATCAATCTGCCTCCGTCGACATGCGGGAGCAGGGGCAACAACGAAGAGGAAGAGACAGAGGGCAGAGGAGGGGGAAGGGGCAAGGAAGGAGCGGAGCCTCTAAGCCCCCTTAACTGAGAGCGCAGCTCAATACGCCTCGACAAGGCCGCTGAGGTGTCCTCTGGACGCGACACCCGCTTAGGTTGGGCCTTAAAAAACTCTTCTGCAATCGGCCTCACAGCGTTGTGTACATGTAGATACAGGGCATCACCGCATTGTCGAGCATGCATATCTGCGTCGAGTGCCACTTGACCAAGCTCGCGGTTCACAGCCTGAGGAGGAGGAGGAGGAGGAGGAGGAGGAGGAGGAGGAGGAGGAGGAGGAGGAGGTGTCCTCGTCCTCCTCCTCCTCCTCCTCCTCCTTCTCCCCACATGCCGGACCAGGGGCTGGACTTAGTGTCCCTCTCCGCGCATCTGCTTTGCATGCTGTTGCGAAGGCCTTGCAGCCGGTGCCGCCGACCCCTAAGGCTGGACCCCCGCCCCTCAGGACCCCCGCTGGCGACCCCCCCCCCCAGGATGCAGCAGACGCTCTCGAACTTGGTGGCTGGGCGAGAATGGGCGTCCTCGTGGGGGCTCCCTGCCCTCGGCCGCCCTCCAAGCCGAAGCATGTCCCAGCCCCTGGGGCTGACATCTTCCTACCTCGCGCCGATCCTCGGGATCCCCTCCCACCCTCAAGACTGTCACAGCCTTGGGCTTGGCCACTTCAGGGATCAGTTCGGGGCGGGTTCTCGATGCCTCGACCCTGGTGCCCAAGGGGCGGACGGGGGAGGGCGGCATCGCTCAGTGGTCGGCGGGCATGCCTGTCCCTCCCCCATGAGGAGGAAGAGGAGGGAGGGAGGATCGGCACCACCCGAGCACATGCCCGCGGAGGCCGTTTCTGTCGACGGCCCCCGCGGGCGGATCGAGCCGCTTCCGGAAGGAGCCCCGCCCCCTCCCAGCCGTGGAGGGGGGTGCGGGGGCCGCGGCCTCGCTCCCGAGGAGGTCCGACTGCCGCAGCAGCAGCAGCGACCCGAGCAGACTTATGTATACCAGGTGTGCGTCGGCCACGCCAGGGCGACGCGCGCGCTCGAAGGAACCTTGCGGCATGAGGTCCCCGGCGGGCGTGCTCTGGCCACCCCGTTCGGGAAAGGATCTGCTGCAAGCCGTTGCACACGCGTTCGGGTCGGACGTGCGTCTCCAGCAGAGGCACCTTGTTCTGGCATGCCCTGGTGCGTCCCAGGCCGCCCCGCCGCTCGTGCATCCCGGAAGTTGGCGCTGCCGCCCAGCTGACGGAGCCGGCAACCGTGCCGCCCGCCGCGGGCTCAGCGCCCGCGGCCTGCGATGGGGAGGGGGTTCGTGCCGCAGGCACGGTGTCCGGAGGATTTTCCCGCCGGCTTTTGGGACCCTTGGGGAGGGAGGGAGGAAGTCAGCAGCAGCGCCCTCCTGGCACGCAGCCACCCCCGCGAGGCGCACGGGGGCTGGGCGTCCCCCGGCGGCGTGCTGAACGCGCTCGTGGTGCTGTACGCGGAGCAGGCGGCCGCCCGCGCGCCCCCGCCCGACAGGGCCGGCGCGGCGGAGGCGGGCGCGGAGGAGGTCTTGCTGAGGCTCACGGGCAAAATGCGGACGCGGCGACGAGGACGACGACGACGACGACGACGACGACGACGAGGAGGAGGAGGAGGAGGAGGAGGAGGAGGAGGAGGAGGAGGAGGAGCTTGAGGAGGAGGAGAAGGAGGAGGACGAGGACGACGACGAGGACGAGGACGACGAGGAGGACGAGGACGATGACGAGGACGAGGAGGACGAAGACGACGAGGACGACGACGAGGAAGGCGACGACGAGGAAGGCGACGACGACGCCGACGACGACGACTCAATGTGATTCTTTTTGTAGAGGGCTCTGATGGGTTTCTTTTGTGAAGGATTAGAATGAGATTCGTTTAATCGGGATTACGATCCGATCAATTTGTGAAGGTTTCTAGAGGCTTCAAATCGGACCCCCCCAAGGGGACTCCCAGAATCCCCCGTTCCTTATATTTACGAAGGGATAACTCAGACCTCCAATTCCTTGTTACCCAAAGCAGCACTGTCCTTTCTCTTAGCACCCTTCGTCTGGGAACCCTGTCTGCGCCACTGGACCGTCAAGCAGCAACCCGGGACGGAAAAGTAGTCTTGGGGAGGGGGCCCTTTGAATTCTGGGAGGCTTCCTCGTGCTCTTGCTCCTGCCCCCTCTCTCATGCTTCTCACCTCGCTCCCGCTCCTCCTGGTTCTGCTGCTGCGGCTCCTCTTCCTCCTCCTCCTCCTCCTTCTCCTCCTCTTCCTCCTCCTCCTCCTCCTCCTCCTCCTCCTATCCTCCTTTAGGTGGCTCCTAGCTGGCCCCCATCGCGCCCTGCAGCTGTTTTGCCCGCGGGGGTGCGGGGCGCGCCAGCCATTGGGAGCCCCCAGCCCCAGGCCCCGCCAGGCGCCTGGCGCGACCGCCGCGTTGCGCGGCCTGCAGCGGCGGCACGGAGGCGGCGGGTGCCGCGGCCTCCTCCCTCGCTGCCTCCTCCAAGCGCTGGAGGCAGCCATCACCAGGGTGGCATCGGAGGCTGCGCAGGAAGCGCGGGCAGGTTCGCCTGCTCCTGCGCCTCCACCGCGCCGCCCACGTCCTCCGTCAACACCACGGGGAGTCCCGCGGCCCGCCCAAGGGGCGATGGGCGTGCACCGCGACGAGGCAGTGTGGTTTCCAGCGCAATTTTGCTGGCAACGACCGTTGCCATCGCTGCGGTCGCGATCGGCAAGGGCGGCCAGATCCAGACGGAGGCGGGCGTGCACCAGCAGGACAGGGCCCCAGGCAGTCGTCGTCCGCAGGCGCGGCGCGACGTGCTGCCAGCGGAGGCGGTCGGGATGCTGCCTCAGTCGGATCGGCCCCAGAGGAGGTGGATTCCGTGGCGCGGACACGGGAGGCACTGCAGGCCCTGCGACGCCTCCAGCTGGACGACACCAGCGAGCTCATCATCACCGCCAAGAGGCAGTTGGCTGAAGCGGAGGAGGTCGAGCGCGCCAGCCGCACGCCAGACGACCTCCTACGCAGAGCGCTTGACAGGCATACCGCCAAGCTGCGTGAGCACGGGAGGGCCGACGCCGAAGTCAAAGCTCTCCAGCAGCAGTTGGCCGACAAGCAGGCGGCGCTCGCGACGTTCACTGATGAGCTGGCAGCGATCCGCCTCGAAGTGGCTGCGGCCCGAGCAGCGGTCATGGCGGCCACCATTCCGCAGGCTGGCCCCGACGGAGTTCATGACGTCGATCAGGCTTTGGGGCGCCTTCAAGCGCTGGTGGCTGCCGCGCCAGCAGCCGTCCAGGCAGGTAAGACCTTCACGGCCCTCAACAGCATCGGGATCCACCTGCTGGAGCTCCACAAGGCCTTCCAGGAGCACAAGCGCAGCGTGGCGCCACGAAGGCCTGGCCATGTCCATGGGTGGTTCCGCCACAGCCAGTTCAACTGCAACACCTGGTTCAGAGTCTGCAGCGACAGCGGCAGCAACAGGTGCTTCCCCAGCTGCAAACATCCCAGATTAGTTGTGGCGAAGTGTCTTCCTTAGTGCCTGGTCTTCGCAGGCTTGGTGTGTGCCGAGCAGCTGTGGAAGGCGCCTCTTCCATGCACATTGGTTCAGGCTGTGCTGCAGTGTTGAATACACACGGGCCTGATGGCGACTCAGGTGGTGCTTGTGGCATGCTTATTTCCAACGGAGTGATTGCGCCAGTGTCAGCTGATGGCGGCTCAGCGGCACGGCCGTGTTCATAATATATTATCCCAGCGGTTTTGGTCACGCGGCGCTCTGATGGCGAATCAGAGGCTGCGCTCGTTGGGCCCAGCAGGTATCGGCATAATGGTGTTCGTTTCGATGGTGATTGTGCCTCAGCTTCCCCTGTGGTCCAGCCTACTTGCGCACCTGATGTGCTGCCGAATACGCCAGAAGAGGAGGAGCTCACTGACCACGTGGAGACCTTCGTGGGCCACTGGTACGCTGACGTCATCACCTGGGATGGCATCGTGGCTCACGGGGACTGGGGTTTCTGGTGCGTTCCCCGCGTGGAATTATGCACGCGAAAGCACGATGGTCTCAACAGGGTAGCTCCTACTGGTGCCCTGCAAAAGGGGTTGGCGGAGTGCATCTGTCACTACGCGTGGTTTCAACATGCATCTCATCTTCGCCGCCATTTGAAACGTTTTCGGACTATCTACTTGGATGACCGCCAACGGTGGTGCGGCATGATTGTGCAGCGTCTTCGCGCGCTTCGGGACACCCGATTGCACCTTGACAGTGAGATGTCTGGCCAACCTTTTGCTGACTTCATGATTGGCGGAGCGACGCGCGTTTTTGGCGCTGCGACGAATATAATTGCGGCACTTCGTGGCCACACTGGCGACGCCCAAGGCGTCGCGCCTGGGGAGTGCGGTGCCCACTCTGGTCACCAAGTGCCAGCGTCCGATCCTGCTGGTGATCATGTGGATGTAGGTATGGATCATCACGTCGCCTTCATTCAGGTCAATGGCGGTGCGGCGACGGTTCTTCGGGGCGCGAAGGCCATTGAGAAGCGGCGCTGCGATCTGCTCGGGGCTTGGGCCGCCCTGAACTGGGATCGGGTAGCAGTGAGATCGATCTCGTGCCTTCTCGACGTCGATGGCGCGAGGGGGATATCGTGCGCGTGCAACTTGCCCGCGCAGCAGGCGGATTTCCAGTTTCATGTCGCTAGCTCGTCAGGGCCGCTTTGTGTGGTCCAGCGTGGTGGTGAAGATCGTTGGCTTCCTGCTCAGTCTGCTGCCCCAGCGGGGCGCCCGTGTGGAGATGCTGCCGGCAGTGTTTGCCTTCGTCGACTTGCGCATGATGCGGATGGGGGTCGCGCCGCGCAGGCGACGGCATCTTGTGCTACCTCGCCTGCACATGAATCTAGTGCGGCTTTGCATATGCACTCGTCCGACTGCCCGCCGTCTTCGCGGCCTCGGAAACGTGCTCGGATGGTCCACTCAGTGCCCGCGGAGGCCCCTGCAGTTTCTTAGCGGCCCTCGAACCGCCCGTGGAGGCGGGCTCCCAAGACGGCGTCAAAGAAGACGGATGTCCGTGTCATCAGATTCAAATCTAGTGGCTGGCCGCAAGCGAAGGCTCTCCTACAGGATGGGCCACGTAATGCCATTGCTCTCATTCAAGAGCACAAGCTGCGTGGAGATCGGTACTTGCGGGCCCTGGAGTGGGCAAGTGTGAATGGTTGGAAGCCTGTCGTGACCCCTGCAGTGCCTAGCGACCGTCGCGATAGTCTTGGCAGTGGAGGAGTGGGGATCTTCGTGCCTAGTCACACTGGCCCATCGGTACCAGGTCATTCTGCTGGTCACGTCACTGTCCCAGCATTTGCTGTCTTTGTGCGTATACATGCGGGGCCTCGTCATGGTTTCCTGGTCGGGCCCGCCTACCTGGAACAAGGGCGCCAATGGGGGGGGGGGCAGCGCTGACAAACTGAGGGTAATTGGAACCGCGTTGTCATGCTGCAAGCTGCCGCATTGCTTTGGAGGGGGTTGGAACGTCTCTCCTCAACGCCTAAGTGATTCAGGACAGTGTGATCGTTTGCAGGCAAGGCTCATTGTTCCCACGGAAGGTACTTATCGCGACCCGAAATCAGGAAAGCGCAGCCTCCTTGACTACTGGATGGCCAGTGACAGCATCGCGTCTTCCAGCACCGCACCAGGCACACTTGCGGATTTTCCTCCCAGGAACCACTACGCGGTGATGACCTCCATTCTTGGAGGGGTGCGGTCACATGCGGTCACGGTGCTATCAGGCCCTGGACCATTCCCTGTACAGATGAAGGCCAAGCTCCAGACTACCGATGATGACGACGACGGTGAATTGAGTTTTGATATTTCCAGAGGTCAGCCTGACATGCCTTGGACCGATCTCATGGCAGCGGATTCGGTGCACCGTCTGGGTCAACACGGTGACCATAGATATCGACTCGACCAGCTCAGCCGAGCCTTATATGATGGAGCCGAAGCTGAGCTTGCGCCACTTTTTCAGCCCCCCGAAGGAGGGCATGACCGTGTGGTCGGACGCTCTCGTAGGCCTCGCTATCGCAAGTCGACCTCTGGGGGGGCGTTGGCCAGATGCCAGCCTTCAGGGGCCCAGGCTTCCAGAGCTATAAGTATTCTGCAGCTTCGTGTTCATGACATCAGCATTGCTCGAAATGGGTCCCTTAACGAGTCTCGGGCTTGGGGCTTCCTGTGATTTTCTGTCAGGAGGCCGCCGACATGGCAGGATGCGAAAACACGTGCACCCTGCGATTTGTGATATCGTCGTCTACCTGATCCAACAGGTGGTGATCTCTCCCGTGGGCGCCGAGGGACACCTCTTTCAGTTCGTGGAGGACTATCTTGGGCGTCTGGCCGCTAAAGAAGAGCGTCTACTTGTGCGCGCTCTAGATCCTAATCTTTTACTGCCTGGCTCCGTGCAAAGTTGGACACACAACCTGGGCCAGTTCGCCGATGGACTAAGCCGCGCGGGTGGTGCTTATCCCAGGTCGATGGGGCTTTGGGGCCCACCAGCTTTCCAGGCGACGTCGTTCAGGCCCAACGGCAATCCTGGGCCCAAGTTTGGAATGCGTGTGATGAACCACTGGACGACGTTTCTTGGATGAAGTCATGGCGAAACCATCTCGGACGGCATTGTGGATGAAATGCGCCACCTACGCGGCCACGGTCCTAGGTTGCCGCCCCTTAGAATTGCTGAGCTACGTGCCGCTGCACTCCAATTTCAACGTCGCACCGCGGTCGGTGCAGACCGATTTCGGCATCGGCACTGTGCATCGTTGACAAACGAAACCTTATCTTTCCCGGGGGTGTTTGCATTACCATTGTGAAGTGTTTGGGAATTGGCCCGATATAGTCAGGAACGTCCATCTTGTTCTCTGGGCGAAGCCCCCGGGGGGCTATAGGCCGATTGCCTTGCTGCCGTCGGTGTGCCGGATCTGGGCGAAAGCTAGGATGACCTGGGTTCGGGCCTGGGCCTTGCAACTCGATGGGGCCTACCTGGTCCTTCGCGCCCAGAAATCGACCACGGACGTTGCTGCCGGGTTACTCGTCCACGATGATGCCGAGGCCGGAGGGCGAGGCTCCGACTCCAGCCGACATGCGCCACTCCGCGCCATTGTTGACATCGGGATGTGTTTCGATGAGGTTCCGTGGGGTAAGCTTATGCAGGCTGGGGTGGTTCACGGGTTCCCAGGAACCTTACTTCTCATGGCCTTGCGAATGTACTCTGGCGCCCGTCGGCTGGTCTGGGATAGCAGTTTTTCTGATGTTACTTGGGCTCGGCATGGAGTGTTGCCAGGATGCGGTTTCGCCATGTTCGCCTTGCAGTGTATCATGCTCGCGCCCTTTGACGCACCATATAAGCACACGGCCAGCATAGCACGCACAATCGACTTGTGCGCAGACGATGTTACCCTGGGTGTCTCGGGCTCTTTGCAGAAGCTCCATGATGTTCCCCCTAGATGTTGAGGATGCTTGTGGGCGTTCTGGATGGTCCGGGCTTGCCTGCGGCTCGGAACAAGGTGAAGGTCATGTCCAGCAACCCTCAACCTGGGCGTCGGGTGCGCAGAATGGTCCGATCCTTGGGGTACACCTATTGCAGCGCCCTCGAAGTCTTGGGTATTGATATTTCCTCAGGGCGCCCCTTCGGTACACCGAGCTGCGGTCGAGAGTGTGCGCTGTCGGTCGTCGGGTGCCAAGGTTCCGATCGGCGCGTCGTGTTGGCAAGTTGGCTGCGCGTTTTGTGCGCCAGGGCATGCCGCCAGCCATGGCCTACGGAGTGAGGGCGCGCGGCCCCCCCCCCGCGGCCGGTGGCTAGAACGAGACGTATTCTTCGAAACTCCTGGCATGCACCAGGGGCAGCTGCCTCGGCTTGGGCCACCTCCTGCCTACAGGGACACCAGCACTCTGACCCTCCAGGCCATGGCGTGGTGCGCTCCCGTCTACCGATGGTCTCTCCTTTATCGAGACCGCGCAGTGCCTGGCGATGTTCTGCAACGGGCATGGGCTGAACTGATCCAGGTTGTATACAATCATCCCAAATCCTGGACCAGGGTCGCTGGACCTGCGGGTGCTACCTTGTTGGTTATTCGTGACCTGGGATGGCTTTTCTCCTCTGGGCATCTGGCGCGCACTGATGTGGGTGATGTTTTGGGTTTTCGGAAGGAAGCCCCATCTACGATATTAGCGGTTGCCAAGGAATCGGCCGCGCGAAGGCTGCGGGCCCAGTGGGCCAGTCGGCATGATGGCTCGTGCGAGCCAACAAAACCCGAAGGGCCCGCGGGATATTGGCTGGAACCGATTGCCGAGATCTTGGGACGAGAGCCCCCCCCCCCCCCCGATGAAACCACAGAAGACATCGTCTCCGACCAACCTAGTGAACCAGGCCCGCAGCGGGGCTCCCAGGGCACGCAGCGCGCTAGGAACTGGTCTCCTGAGGGAGGCAGGACTGCTGCGAGCGTTCGTCACTGGTGGCATGTGGACGCCTGCGCGTCTCCACCAGTTCGGGTACGCGGACGACGCCCAGTGTCGACTGTGTGCAAACAGTTCCTGCACCATGCACCGCATTTTGTGGGAGTGTCCAGCTCTTGATGTTGCCCGTCGCGAACATACATATCGGGTAGACCGCAGAGCGTTCTCTGCATGTGAAGTTTGGTCTTGGTTTTGGGATCGCGGACTTATCGGGCGGTCAGGTTTTCCTGAGCTACCTGCTAGAGACAACTCGGGGAGGTGGCATGTCCTCTACGGAAGTCCAGAGGGAATCCCGGGAAGGATCTACACTGATGGAGCGTGTCGCCGTATTTGGTACTGGCCAGAGTCCGCCAGAGCTGGGTGGGGTTTTGCTCAGTCATCAGAACGAAGAGATGGAGACATCACATGTGCAGTGTATGTAGCGCTACCTGGTGTCGTTCAGTCCTCACCGAGAGCTGGAATGCACGCCGCCCTCCAAGCCCCTTTAGCTTGTGCCCCTCCGGTTATTATAATAACCGAATTTAAAAGGGGCTCCCCGATGGGCTCGACAAAGGCCCTAGTTGGCGTTTGGTTCCCCGTCGACATAATCTTGGGAGGCCATCTGGGGCAAGATCGAAGACCTCGGGGGCCTCCACGCTGGCGTGTCGTTTGAACTTTGCAGGGGTCACCAGCGCGGCGCGAGCGAGGTAGCTGGAGGCAATCGCTGGGCCGACCTTGCGGCCATCTCTGGGCGCGATCTTCATTGTGCTTCGCGTCCCGCTCGGCAGGCCATGGCTGCTGCTCACAAGCATTATGTGTCCAGCCTTCGCTGGATGGTGAAGGCTTTGTCCCTGTGTCGGGAAACGGGTCGGGCCCCCACTTGCCCTCGTGCAGCGGAGACGACGCCGCTCCCCTGCCCCTGGGCTGGGACCCAGTGTGGAAATGCCAGACCACTTGCGGCGCGTCTTCCAGATGATTCCACGGCGAAGTATGTACAGGTGCGCCTTCTGTAAGTGTGGGGCCAAGACCATCGATGGAGTCCGTCGTCTCTCCCCCCTCTCCTGCCCTGCTCGCCTGCGGGCTTCGGAGGGTACGCTCGGGCTCGTGGCATCGCAGCTTCCTCACTCGCAGGGGCAAGGTCGCGTCTCGGCCCCGTCTGGCGCCATGCAGCAGCAGGCTGCTGAGCCATCTTCTGCGGCCTCCCCGTCGCCTGGCGAACGGGAAGCCGTGGTCAAGGTGCTCAGCGGCCCAGCTGGTGATGAAGATGGCGGCTCTTCCCCCCTGCGCGAGGAGGCTGTCATCCCTGAGAGGAGCACGGGTAGCCTCCCTGCTGGTGCCCCTCGCCCGTTTGTCGACGTCGATGCGTCGGAGTTGCGTCGGTCGACGTGTCGTCCTAGCTCGTTCAGCTCGTCTGGCGATGGTCGCAATGTGCGGAGGCGTGTTACCTTTGACCCCGTGACCCTGGTGTGGTCGCCCGCCCAGGAGCAGCAGGATCGTGCTGTCCAGGAAGTCGAGGATGGACGCTCCCTGCCCGCGGCGAAGCGCCCAAGGCAAGACAGGCGAAACCCTAGGCCCTCCATGAGCGCGATCACGGTACCTGCCGCCCCCATGCCGCCTTGCGGCATCGTGCCGCCCGAAGCGGCGCGAGGGCACAGGCGCTGGGTTGCGCCAGGGCATGTGGTCCTACGTATTAAATGTGGCTTCTACACCACTGGGGTGGCGAGCCACCTCCTTGTCGATTGCCGCCCGCCTGAATTCCATGAGATGTCAGATAGGGCGGCGCGTAACAGGATTTTATGTTTGAGAGGTCGGCACCCTGCTGACGAGGGGAGGCCTGGAAATCGGACCCTCCGAACCCCCAGGCCCCTGCAGGCCTCTGACCTTGAAACGCTTCGGTTACGGCTACGGCCTATGGAGGCCCAGCCTTGACCTGCGTTCCTGGCGCTTTCTCGCCACGCCCGCTTTTGGGCTGTGCCTGTGTGCCCGCTCCGTGATCCCTGGGTGGGGTCGGGGGCGTTTTCTGCTGCTGGCATGAGGGGCATCCTTGGCCCCAGTCTGATGTGCTCACCCAGCGCTAGCTTGACCTGCGCGGTGACAGCCAAGGCAGTGCGTTATCCTCTTATCCTCCTCCTCCTCGTCCTATCCTCCTCGCACCTGCTCCTCGTCCGCTCCTCCTCCTGCTCCCCCCGAGGTTCCTGAAGGAGCAGAGGGACAACCCTTACTTCGACGCCGCTTTCGCGCTGCGCGTGTGCGAGGGGTACAACCTGGCGCGCGCGAAGACGCTGCTCTACGGGCTCATGGGAATGCACGAGGAGGCCGTGGACAGCGCGCTGCTGCGGGGCGACGTCGCCCTTGCCAAGCACAGCGCCTGCGAGCCGGCGAGCCGGCACATGCGGCAGCGGCTCTGGCTGCGCGTCGCCCGCGACCAGGCCGCGGACGGCGACGCGCAGAAGATCATCGACCTCATCCACGAGTCCGAGGAGCTCACGGTGCGCGACGTGCTGCCCCTCGTGCCCGAGGCCATGACGATCGACGCATTCCAGAAGGACATCAACGAGTGCCTGGACTCCTACGAGGACCAGATCCTGACGCTGCGGCAGGAGATGGACGAGCACCGCACGGCGCTGGACGCGTTCAAGGAGGACCTGAAGCACGTGGAGGATCGAAGAAGCAACAATCGGCGGTGGGCGAGGGGGGGAAATGAGAAGAGGAGGCCTTCTCGGAAGGCGGAGGGACTTCTTAGAAGCCCTCGTGCCTTCCGAACAGTTTTTTTCTGTCTTCGGGGAAGGGTTAGAAAACTTCTTAGAAGTCTGGGGGACTTCCGAACCTTCTGAGAAGGCCTTCTTCTTCTTCTTCTTCTCACTTCCCCCTTTCGCTTGTCGCCGCATCAACGGCACAACCATAAGCTTGTGGAGTTCTGCTCGGATCTCTTGGGTCCGGCGCTCTGCACCCCTGGCGGCGCCTCCGGCGCCGTCCCTGGCTCGCCCCGCGCGCGCCAGACAGGGGGGGATCCAGCGTCGATCCCAGAAAAACCCGCGCGGAGCTCCGAAAGTTCATGTTTGTGCAACTGGCTCTGCTTCCCCTGCACTGTTCGGCGGCGTGCGCAGGGGGGTTGCGTGAGGAGGTATGCATCTCGGAAGACGGGGAGGGGGGTTCTCAGAAGGCAGGGCCCTTCTTCGAAGGGCCCTGGGGGGCTTCTGATACGCCGCCTTCTTAGCCAGGCTGGTTTCTAAGAAGCCCTCTGCAGGAGCAGTGGGTCGCCATCCCGGACGACGCGGTGTGCGAGATCTGCGGCACCCCCGCCATGAGCGAGCGCTTCTACGCCTTCGCCTGCGGCCAGCGGCGGCGACGTCCGAACCCTGCCCCTCGCCGAGCAGCGAGCCGGGCAACTCGGCTGGCGGCGGGGGTAGGGTTCGGCATTCGTCGATCACGCACCCCAGATTTCACAATAAAAAGGGGGGGTGGTCTGATTTGGGATGGGGTCAGATTTGAGCTGTCTGGGAGGGTTCCAGTGGGTCTGGGCAAAAAGCCGCCCTTCATGGCTTGTTTGGGGGGGGTCTGGAATTGCCCGTCTGTGAGGGTTGTGACCCCCTCCCTTTTATGGCGAAATCTGGAGTATCCTAAGCCCGGACCCTGCCCCTGCCGCCCCTCGATCCAGGAGAGCCGATGGCTGGTGGGGGCGGGGCTCCGATGCCGCCACCCATCCACGAGCGCGTGCCACTGCTCGCAAAAAGTGCCTGCTCGCAGACGTCAGCAAAAAAAACACGTTCGCCCCGAGGTAATACTATTATATCGTGCATCCCCCGCGGCGGATCCAGGCCATTTGCGAGCAGTGACCTGGCGAGCAGTGGAACGCGCTTGCCTGGCCGAGGCCACTGCTTCCACGAGGCCTGCCTGCGAGACATGGTGCTGCCACTGCTCGCCTCCAGCGGCCGGGCGGCGCGGCTCTTCGAGCTCGAGGCCGCCCGGCTCGGCCACCAGGCCGCCGCCGCGGGCGCCTCGTCGGCGAGGCCCGCCGCCTCGCTGGCGGAGGTGGAGGACGAGCTCGACGCCATCCTCGCCGACGACTGCGCGCTGTGCGGCCGGCTGATGATCGAGACCATCAGGCGGCCGTTCGTGGACCCCGCCGAGGAGGCGGAGGCGGGGACGTGGGCCATCAGGTGACCGCTGGAGCCCCCTCCCCTCGGCCGCACAGGGACGCCTCCACGCCTCCGCGGCCGTGCGCGGCGGCGTCGCGGGGAGAGGCGGTGCGGGGGGGGGGGGGGCGATCGGGGCGAGGAGCGGGAGGGTCTAGGCCAGATCCTGGATGGAGCCCTGAGTGGCCGATTCGAGCGTTCACGAGTGAAAGGGTTTACACTGCGGGCGCCCTCCGGGCCCTGACCGCGGCGGTGTTCAGACCACCCCGAGCCAAGGCCGCGTCGTCGGGTCCACTGGTTGCTGTCCGAGTCCGAGCGGGTGAGGTCATTGCATGATGGAAGTCAGATGCGGTTCCGGGCGGGGGTGGAGGGGAGGATGGGGAGAGATCCGACGATGGTGATGGTGGCGATCCTGCTGAAGATTGCCGTGGTGATGGCAGCGATGGCGATGGCGATGGTGGCGACTGCCATCGCGGTGGTCGATGATGGTGACGGTGATGCTGACGTTGCTGGTCATGACGATGGCGGTGATGCGTGCGCGCTGCCCCGAGGAGCCCCGCTGCCCGAGCCCAGCCGACAGCGCTGTGGGGGCGCCCGCTGGGGCCAGAGATGCTGCGGGCCCTGCTGGAGGGGCGGGGGCAGGGAAGCGCGAGGGACCCATCGTGGGCGAGGAGGGCAAGGTACCCACACCGCTGCGATTTTTTCCCGTGGTCGCCTTTTCGGGCCACCTGGGAGGCCCTCGTCGCCTCCGCGGGATTCGCTTCGAAGTCCTGGTCAGAACGGGTCCCGGAGGAGGTCCGCAGAGCAGCAGGATGGGTATTTTCTGGTTTCCCCAATCGTGGGCGAAAAACATATCCGTATCCGCGGCCTTGCTGGCAGGGCCACGGAGTGATTTCCAGCGAATGCTCCGCCCAGAACGTACCCGGGCGACCGCGCATCCGCGGGATCGCGCCCTGGAGTCCAGCCAGGAGGGTGAGGATCCGGATGCGTTCGCCGCTCGTGAGCCCACGGGTGAGCAAGCAGTCTGACGGCCAGACGCGGTGGAGACAGCAGCGCAATGTGGAGCTCGGGAGTCGCACGCGTGCTCCGAACTCGACGGGGGGGAGGGGGGGAACGGAGGGACAGATGGAGGGAGGAACGGCGTGCCTCCTCATCCTCGGGTTTGTGGGCCGCCACTTCTGAAGAATAGTTATTGCTGATCCCTCCCCCCGCCACCAGCCTCCATATCTGTAGGGGTCCTAGCGGATTCATATGGTGAGGTTATAGGTTTGCCGCCGATTTTCGCCGCACGCCCGGGTGCCCGGGGGTGCCCGGGGGTGAGGTTGGCCGCCGATTTTCGCTGCACGCCCGGGTGCCTGGGGGGTGCCCGGGGGTGCCCGGGGGTCCGGGTGCCCGGGTGCCCGGGTGCCCGGGCGTGCCCTGGCGTGCCCGGGGGTGCCTGGGGGTGGCTGGGGATGCCCGGGGGTGACCTATAGGTCTATAGCCCAATAGCCCGATAGCCCTATAGCCCTTCAGCTCCATAGCCCTATAGCTCTATAGACCTATTGCCCAATAGCCCTATAGCCCTATAGCCCCCTAGCCCTATAGCCCTGATTTGGTTTTTCTCCAGTATCAGGGCTCGAGCTAAACGGTGTTTTGGCAGTTTCGTGGGCCGTTTTCGTTTTGATTTCGTTTTGCAGCAAATGTGGAACGAAGACAGAACTAGGGATGACGATAACAAAACGGAAACGGAAAACATTGTTTAACTCGAGCCCTGTCCGGTATCATTATTGCTGATCCCTCCCCCGCCACCAGCCTCCATATGGTGTTTTTTCGATGGAAGAGCCCCACCACGCGCCCGCACACTGTCCTTCTGTCGGGGGAAGTCGTCGAGCTCAAGCTGCGCCCCTGGCCCCCGGACTACAACAACAACATCCACCACCACCACCACCACCACCACCAACACCACCACCACAACAACAACAATCATTTTCATACTGTTCGCTCCTATCTGCTCACGTGCCAATCAATACGTGTATCCCGAACCCTCGATACCCGCCCTCGTCGTCTTCGATCGTACCCCCTTGGGGGTATATCTTCTTTACCTGCCACGTGCATTTAGGGCAGCCCTTAAAACAAGGGAAGAGAAGACGGGTGCAAGGGGGAGGGATAATCATGGAGCACGAGAGAAATTAGCAGGAGGGGGGCAAGGAGCAGAAAACAAGTGGTATAACCAGAGGCAGATCTGGTGGGCATGCACACAGCGGGCAGGTCGCGAAGGCGGGCCCAGGCGACCAGGTCCAGGCGGGTTCTGAAGCGTGGGTGCTGCATGAATCGCGAGGAAGTCTCGAGCGATTGCGCGATTCCCAAGTCAATCGTGAGAATCGCCAGAACGAGAGCGTGATTCCTGAGCGCCGAGGGCGCATCGTCTGAATAATCTGCGAGAGAGCCCCACGCGAGAGCACGATTCGTATACAAATTGTGAGGAAGCCCCGCGCGAGAGCGCGATGTGGGAATACATTGTGAGGAAGTATCAGGCGGGAGCCGTTGTTGTTGTTGTTGTTGTTGTTGCTGCTGCTGCTGCTGCTGCTGCTGCTGCTGCTGTTGTTGTTGTTGTTGTTGAACATTATTAATTCTAAAGAATAATTATTGTTGGGCCCCCTGGTGCACGCCCCCCCGCCGCGCCTAGGCCGCAGCTACATTTTCATCATTTTCGTGAGGAAGCCTCAGGTAATTCGATGTGATCAAGATCCGGTTGTTTTGTTCCCCCCCGCTTTCCCTTGCAAAAAACACTATAAAATGACATTTCTTGTTCTAATATAATCAAATTTCAAGAATCCCTTGCAAAAAATAAGGTAAAGTGGACATTCGCGCGCGCAAGACGAAATCCTTCCAAAAGCTTAGTGTTCGGAGCGATTTTAACATAAAAACATCAAAAAACCAATGGTTTTTCAACAAAAAAATGTCAAAATCTCATCCCGCGCGCTCTTGCGGATTCGTAGGAAACCCAACACTTTTTAAACATTTCTGTCAAACGGGCTTTTGCGAGCAACTTTTTCGAACTTCTGCGACAACGGTTGCGCACCTGCCAGGGCCATCATCCCTGTCAAATAATACCATGCGGGACACATTCGTTTTTTCTTCGCGCGCGCACGCCGAAATCTCCAAAAACCATTGGGCTTCTTAAGAATTTTAGCACCGCGCATCATAAAATCACACGAATCGCACCGTAGGTCCTCGAAAAACACCTGCACGACTTTTCAAAATTTCTACCCGCGCGCGCTGTCCGAATCCAAAAAAAACCAATGGTTTTCCAACATTTATGTTACATGAGCTCGCGCGAGCTACTGTGTACTCCACGCCAGTGTAGTAGCCACGGTCGTCCGCAGGCCACGAAGTGAAGTGTCCGAACGTCATAGGGCGGGAAGCTGGGTGTGGGTGGTGGCGAAGAGTCGTGTGGATATTTGGTAGAGCTTGCACTGCCCCCCCACAAAGTGGGGGTATTGGCTGGCGTCGCATGAAAACCCTGGCACTGGTGAGAACACTGAGCGTTCGGGTAAAGTGATTGTTGAACATTATTCCTTCTAAAGAATTATTATTGTTGGGACCCCTGGTGCGCGACCTCTGCGCCGCGCCTAGGCCGCAGCTACATTTTCATCATTTTTTCGCGAAAGCTTCAGAAAAGTGGATGAGCTCCGGATCCGGTTTTTTGTTGACGCTCGTTTTCCCTTGCAAAAAACAATAGAAAATGAAAATTCTTGTTCTTACTTGATCAAATTGCAAGAATCCCTTGCAAAAAATAAGGTAAAGTGGACATTCGTGCGCGCAAGACGAAATCCTTCCAAAACCTTAGGTTTCGTAACGATTTTAACATAAAAACATCAAAAACCCAATGGTTTTTTAAGAAAAAATTGTCAAAATGTCCTTCCGCGCGCGCTGTCCGAATCCCACAAAACCAATGGTTTTTCAACATTTATGTTACATGAGCTCGCGCGAGCTACTTTTTCTTGTTCTAACATAATCAAATTTCAATAATCCCTTGCAAAAAATAAGGTAAAGTGGACATTCGCGCGCGCAAGACGAAATCCTTCCAGAACCTTAGGTTTCGTAACGATTTCAACATAAAAACATCAAAAACCCAATGGTTTTTCAAAAAAAAATGTCCAAATTTCATCCCGCGCGCGCTGTCCGACTCCCACAAAACCAATGGTTTTTCAACATTTATGTTACATGAGCTCGCGCGAGCTACTTTTTCTTGTTCTAACATAATCAAATTTCAATACTCCCTTGCAAAAAAAAGTAAAGTGGACATTCGCGCGCGCAAGACCAACAAAAAACACGACGATCTCAGGAACTTGCCCCAAAAATGTGACCAACTCCGCTCTCTCTGTCTCTCTCTCTGTCTGCTCTCTGTCTCTCTCTCTGTCTGTCTGTGTCATGTATTGTATGTCACAATTGCAGGATGCTGGGCACACGCGCGCCCCGAATAAGTGACCAAGTTCTGTGGGTGTGTACCCCACGCCAGTGTAGTAGCCACGGTCGTCCGCACGCCACGAAGTGAAGTGTCCCAACGTCATAGGGCGGGAAGCTGGGTTTGGGTGGTCGCGAAGAGTCGTTTGGATATTTGGTAGAGCTTGAACTGCCCCCCCACGAAGTGGGGGTATTGTCTCGCGTCGCATGAAAACCCTGGCACTGGTGAGAACACTGAGCGTTCGGGTAAAATGATTGTTGTTGTTGTTGTTGTTGTTGTTGTTGTTGTTGAATATTATTACTTCTAAAGAATAATTATTGTTGGGCCCCCTGGTGCACGCCCCCCCGCCGCGCCTAGGCCGCAGCCACATTTTCATCATTTTCGTGAGGAACCTCAGGCAAAACGATGTGTACCAGATCCGGTTGTTTTGTTCGCCCGCTTTCCCTTGCAAAAAATAAGCTAAAGTGGACATTTCTTGTTCTAACATAACCAAACTTCAAGAATCCCTTGCAAAAAATAAGGTAAAGTGGACATTCGCGCGCGCAAGACGAAATCCTTCCAAAACCTTAGTTTTCGTA